GCCCTCTCCCTGCTCCTCATCAACTCGCAATAAAGGGTCTTCCTTGCCCATCAGGAATCATGCTATCTGCTCATTGTTGGCTTACACATTTTCTGTTCTGAACTCAACCACACCCTCGGGGGCACAGACACCTGTTGCTTGTGGGAAGGAAGCCAGGGAAAGGGCCATCTCTGCAGGTTTCCTTGAGAGGTAGTGTCACTCACACTCAGAGGGCAGAGAATATTCCAGAACAGGGCATCCAGGCAGCAGGGCCGAGGACATAGCACTACCTGAACTGCCCTGAACTTGCGATTTTTGCAGGGACCAAATTCCCCCTATCATCCCGGTCCCCCTCCCCTTGGTATCCGTGGCCTCCAGGACATGGGTCTGTACCTGGCAGCTCACAGGCTCCCTCCCATGTGATCAATTGTCCCACTATCCCTCCCTTTAAGGCCCACACTCCACGCCATGCCCTCTTGGCCTCCTGACCCATTTGGAAATTCCCCATCCTCTCAGCCTGGCACACTGCCCAATCCTGAGGGTCCTCCACGCTCCTGCCTCCTAGGGATGCTGCCCCGCGTCCCCTCCCTCAGCCCCAGTCCCATCACTCTCACTACAGGACACTCTGCTCCCAGACCCGGGTCACCCCTCCCACACTCCTACTGGGGACCACCCTCCCACACAGCTGTAGTCAAGGCCCATAGGGGACGGGAGCCACCTCTGCTGCCTCCCACCCCTCAGAGCTTCCCACCAACTCCACCTCAAGCACCGATGTCCGCGTTTCCATGAATGGTCACTGTGTTGTGTATTCATAGTGAAGGTTCAGAATTATATGTTGTCGTGGACATGTCTGTGAGCAGCAGTTAGGAGGGATACCTGAGAACCAGGTAGATCCTGTCTTGGGGGTTGGCACAGGATGTCAGCTCTGAGTTTGCAGACACAGAGACAGACAGTGAACAGGCACACACACAGATTGTTCCCTAACGTAAGACAGGTGCGTATGTGCTCACACACACGTTATTGCAAGCATGGCGATGCTTGGCATGTCCCAAGATTTGTGCTGCCATCCAGAAGCTTCCCATGGGCCTCATCTCTCTGTAGGCATAGGCTCCAGGGCTTCCATGTCATGCAGGACTCTTACTCCTTGCACAAGGCACCCCTGCACATGCCGGCCAGCAACACAGCCCCTCCCTGGGATATGAGGTGAATCTCAGACCTTCCTTCCTACCTCTACCTCAACTGGGGATGCAGAGAACCCCACCCTCCAAGCAAGTCAACGTGCAGGTGGGAGGCAGTCATCCCCCTCAGCCTCCCGTCAGCTAGGTGAGCACAAGACGCAGCCTTTGGTCCTCCCGCACAGGTGCAGGGGG